TTGCCAAATTTTCAGGTGATGGAACTGTCTCATTTGCTTTTGGTAAAATTTAGTATGCTAATACTATGAGAAAGTGTCTTACTCATAATGTTTGGTTGTTACCTCTCGAGGATATTCTCAACCGGTCATTAGGATGCTACTTCGAGGAAGTCTTCCCATTCTAAAGTCGGAGATATTTTAAGGGAAGTTCTTTCTCTCTTCTCGACTCCCTGTGTCAGTTTCGCTTCTTTGCTCCTCGGAGCTTTCATAGAGCTGCCCACCTCGTGGCAAAAAAGGCTCTTTTATCAGGAGTCCGGTTGCATACGAGCTACCGTTATTTATTATTATCAGTTTTATATATTTGTGTTCGACCATGCCCTGGGGGCTTATCTAGGATTAAAAAAAAACCATCTCATAATATAAAAAAACAAATAAAAAACCAAACAAATATGAAGATATCTACGATCAATATTCACTTCCATCTTGTTAACAATGTCGTCATCTCCATTATTAAATCCACTACCTCCAATATTAGTAGACAGACTCTTTCTGCTTCTCCCACATCTCAATGAAAGCGAAACTTTAATGATATGGCAAATATATATGACACTGCAATTAGAATATATTTCATCAAGTCATGATATTGTCAATGATTTGTTGTGTATTCTACGTGAAACCACTAATTTCCAACATGGATAGTATCTCTCTCTTCTAAAAAAACGTAATCATTACCATAATTTATGTTTTAATGGGTATGGTGATTTTCCTCAAGTGAATGATAAAGTTAAGGAGAATGGAAGTCAAAAGATAGATTGCTACCCAATTGACATCATCTTTGATTTTGTTGTATGATTCCCACAAAAGTACTTGAGAGAGTTTTCTTCAACTTTTGATCAATAGTTCGCATCAAACATAGCACCACTAGTTCCTAACTTTGACAACTTAATTACATTGAAAGGAATACGAATTATCCTACTTATTAGAGAAAGAGATATCATTTTAATGTTAATGATCGTTAGATTGAAATGGGAGGTACATCTTTTCTATTCGTTTAAACTCCTTGAAGAATGTGATGCACCCCCATCACTTTTATCACAAAAGCAATACTTTTGAAACCAAATTTTGGGTTTCTAAAACTCCAAAATTTGTAGTTTCATTAGGAGACAAATCTGTAAGAAAATAGGTTTCTTTATCATCATGTTTAGAGACAAATATTAATGTAATGACTAAAATGAGAAGACGATCACCAATATTTGTGAGAATTGTAGTCAAAATCGCGCTTTAAAGCGTAAAATCGTACGATTTTACGTTTCTAGGGTGGGAAAACGTTTCAAATCACTAATAAAATCGCTTTCACTCAAAATCGGTCAAATGCGTTAGTAGAATCGTTAAAATCGGTGAAATCGTATAAAATCGCGTTTTCAAACCAATTTTATCCGATTTCAAGCAAAGGAGAAAACTGTCTCCACCAAACCAAAACGACGCCGTTTTGTGCACTTCGGACAAAAAAGAAGAAGGGAATAGGGTGGATATTGGGACGAGGCTGCCAAACTCTTCCAAAATTCCTAATCGTTGTCTCCTGTCTCCAGCACTCCAACGAGGCAGGCCTGCCGCCGCCCTCCTTACTCGTCATCGCCTGTCGCCGTCGTCTCGAGGCAGGCCTTCCAGGCTCCACCGAAGAATCTGCAGCTGCTACAAGGCTTTCAACCGTTGCCGCCAGTCCACCACCTTCCAGCGAAGAATTTGCAGCTGCTACAAGGCTCCAAGCCTCCAACACGGCAGCGTCCGTCGCTTAACGCCCATCGGACTCGTCATCGCCTGTCGCCACTCGCCGACGACACAACTGGTTAATTTCTGTCTCTTCCTTGTCCTAGCCCATCGCCACTTCAGTCTTCACCAATTTGAGTAGTTGTGTTTCATTGTACATCAGTAACTATGAAGATTTGTCATCTACTCAATGAAGGGGAAAGCAATTGTTTTTATTAGTTCCTAGGACAAAGAGTTGGATTGTACGATTAATTAATATTATAGAGTCGGAGGCGGAAACAACGGTGGTTGCTGTAGTGGTGGGAGATTGATGGATCGAAGAGAACAACGGAAGAGCCACGTGGTCATGGCTCAATAATAGTTTGTTTTAATTTAGACATGAATTGCAGGTATTTATTCTTTTATCTAAATTCTGTGCACTCATATTTTACATAGTTTATGCCGTATTTAATAGATTTTTAACTATTATACAGGATGCATAAAAACTTACGCTTTTACGCTTTGATTCACCGCTTTTCGATTTTACCCCTTTTACGCTTTTAGGTAGAATCGCGCTTTTGACTGCATTGAATGTAATGCACCCCCATCACTTTTATCACAAAAGCAATACTTTTGAAACCAAATTTTGGGTTTCTAAAACTCCAAAATTTGTAGTTTCATTAGGAGACAAATCTGTAAGAAATAGGTTTCTTTATCATCATGTTTAGAGACAAATATTAATGTAATGACTAAAATGAGAAGACGATCACCAATATTTGTGAGAATTCCATATATTGTCCTGACCAACGTTAGTACGGAGTGGGGTATGAGTATTGAGTTACCCATCTCGTCCCGCCTCATTGATATTACTATAACAGTAGGCCCATATTAAAATTTTAAACAATGCATGCAATTTTAAGATGCAAGTTTAAAAGATCATGAATCGTAAAGCTTTATTTTAATCTCTTTAGAATTTTTTCTAATAGAAAGAAATGTTTTGATCTTACTAATTTTGTCAATATAAATTATCTTCAATTTTAATTTACGTGAATCGATTTTTGAAAATTTAATTCGAAAAAAATAATTCTTTAATGTCGAAAGTCAAAATCATTGAAATGATTATAAACTGATAAAAGTTATCATTTATGGTCATATCATTAGTAAACTTGTTTTGTAGTTCAAATAGAGATTGGTCAGAGTCAATTGTAATCGATTTTGTAATATTCTACACTCATTTATCAATCAAAATACTTAACACTCGATCAACAATTTTTAATAATATACATAAGCGATCTATAATGTTAAGTCAAATACATTTTAATCAGTAATTATTGACGATTTGTTGAATCTATTAAAGGCCTATGTTGAAAATTTCGAGCATAAATCACACCCGCTAATGATTGTTCAATTATCTAATTGGAACACATTCACAATGTAAACATTATGCCTCCATTTTTTAACCATGATGCTCATACTTATAATAGGTGATTTTCAAAATATATAATTAGTGTCAACCAATGCTTATTGACATTGTCCTAGAGGTGGTTTGTTTGTAGGAATTAGTTTCATTACGATGAATTTAAAAAATGCAACCACGTTGAGAGAAAATATAATTTGTTCTATTTGATGATATTCGGCTCGAAAACCACACATTGCATTTGCATGTCTAGCAGTGTATATATTTAGGTCACACAATTCGTGGGCCCAAGGCCCATGTTCCCGCTTTAGAGCGCAAAAGCGCGGATTGTGGAGAAATCTCAGAAAATTCGCGAACTTATTTTGACCAGAGCGCGAATTATGCTGAATAAATCGCGAACTATTCATAAACAATTGATCTTCACAGCTATTGACACCCTGAACCACCACTGTCTCTGTCGCCAGCAAGATTCTCGCCGGCGAGCGACCCCCTTTCTTCTTCCTTCCGTTAATTGAGACCAAAATCCAAAATAAAAGGGGTTAGAACCCTACACTTCACCCAAATTAGAGTATTTTTATCACTACAGCACAACTCATTACTTATTCATAAATTGACATAAAATTAATTTATTATACTATAAACGAATTCTAATTGCAATAAAGACCTAATTGGGTCTCTTTTCTCCTTATGCCTATTCGATTTTTTTCCAACAACCCTGAAATTGTCTAGCGACAGCGACAATTCCACTAGTTTTGATTCTACGAATTACAACTGTAAATGTAAAAAGAGCATTTTTCAGCTTTGAGTTATAATAAGAACAAGTTTCCAAGTCGATTTGGCAACCAATTTGCTAATGCTAATTTAGTGAGATACATTGAAAAAGACTTATTTAATAGTGTAAACGACGAATGTATTTGCGTTTCTTTCACAATATGAAATCTCCGTGGTTGTTAAAAACAATGATTGTATAGTCGGTTTTTTTAATCTATGAATGAATTATGCAGATATAATTAATTTTTTATTAAATTATTTTTAATTAATTTTTTATTAAATTATTTTTAATTAAATATTTATATATCTATATTTTGAAAAGAGGACAGGGGTGGTTTGAAATGCTGGCTCCGCGACTAGGGGCGGCGAAAAAAATGGAAGGAATGGATTAGGGTTAGTGATTTAGTTTCTACAAGTGATGATATGAGCTTAAATTGCTTCCCTTCCAAGCTCGATTTGTTTGTTCAAGAGGTTAAGCCAACTCATTTGCGCAACCTGAGTTTTTGACTAAGTGATATGACGGGTTCGGGTAGCCTACTTTGCGAGCTTGAATCTTCCGATTGGGTTGGTATAAATGAGAGGTTAAGGTGTTGGTTTGAAGATGAGAACTTCCTCTTTAATATGGCGTGGAGTTCAAGCTTATACAAGGTCATTCAAGCTGTGTTTCAAGGCGTCAAAGTAGCCATCATAAAACTGGCAAACTGCCAGAATTTGGCCAAGTCTGGAGGCATGGTCAGGAAGGTCACTTTGGAGCTCCGTTCAGGGAAGATGGGATCGAATCAGGAAAGGAGCTTTGTACCACATGAAAGCGTGTTTGTTTGTATATAGAAGCAAGGTATTGGCTAACGAGAAGGAGACCTGGAGGGATGTGAACGTGAGGCTCAAAGATGCTAGGGAAGCCTGTTTTGGAGGCAGTTTGCTTAAGCTAGAAGAAAGGGAAGTATGAACGAGTTGGAAGTCCTTTTTATTTTGGGATTGTTACCTTATTCATAGTATAGTTTAATTAGCTTTCCATGTTCGTTTTGTAGTTGAATTAGGTTTAAGTTCGCCTATTTAAAGGCCTAGAACTCCATTGTAATGGATGGACGTTATTCAATTAAGAACTGTGTTCATTGAGTTTTCTACTCGTGGATTGTCCTTATTGCTTGGTTCGAATCGCCAGCGACGAGCGAGCCTTGTATCAGTTGAGTCATCACCTCGATCGTGGTCGGGTTACTACCTTGAACTTGGAGCGAGCCTCTTCCCCAATTGGTGTTGAAGTTGCACAATCCAACCATCCATTCCCCTGTTCCCCTGTTCTTCTTTGAGAATTGGGTTTCTCCACAGCAAATAAACAGCAAGCTTGCGTGTACTAGCTCTTGACGAGCGTGGATAATTCAGCCTTGTAGAGTTGGGGCTTATCAAGTGGTATCTCGATCGAGCCCGGTTCAACTCAGTGGTCGTGTGACGATTCTCCCGCGGTGGCAGAGACAACGAGTTCATCGACAGAAGGCGGCGCGGGCACGATGAGGTGGACCCGATTAAAGGGCCGTGTAGAGTGCGATCCTGCTGCTGTTTTGGTAGTGGAACAGAGAGTTTCAAAGAAGCAGGCGGCTGTTCTGGGTTTCCCTAACAAAGAACGGTCACTCGCGGCAGAGTCCGTTTCAGAAAAGGAGACCGCAGCGGGCGACGATTCGGCCATGGCAGAGCAGGCCAATGTCGTGGAATTGCTTCGAACCATGATGGCGCAACAGAATGCCGCCATCCAGGCCTAGTTCGACACTTTGAACCAACAACTGGTCGTCCACAGAGTGACGGTGAACGCCCCTGCTCGGCAGCAGAGGATTATTGTTGCTGAACAGAATTTCGAGCAAGACCCGCTTCAGGGCGATCATGGATGACAGTTAGTAGCAGAAGCAGAGCACGGAAACAACATTGCCGAGCTGAGAGGTATTAAATTGCAAGTGCCAACGTTCTCAGGAACCAACAATGCCTCGGCATACTTAGATTCAGAAAGAAAGATGCTTCTGTTCTTTCAATGCGGCAACTATAACGAAACACAAAAGTTGCTTCTTGCAACGTATGAGTTTGCATATTACGCCGCACAATGGTGGGAGCAGACACAAAGCCGCCGTCGTAGGAACTTGCAGCCTGAAATTATGACTAGGACGGAGCTGAGAGGTCTACTGAGAGAACGTTTTGTGTCGGGTTACTATCAACGTGATTTGTTCGAATCTTTGCAGCAGCTACGACAAGGTTCGAAATCAATTGATGAGTACTACCGAGAGCTAGAACTCCTCATGATGCGCGCTGATATCTGAGAAGATAAGGAAGCCACTATTGCCCGGTTCCTTCATGGGATGAATCGCGAAATCATACTCGAAGTCGAGCTGCGACCATTCGTTGAGCTGGAAGAAGTCGTACATCTTGCAGTTAAGGTGGAACGACAACAACGAGCAAGTGCGGGGAGGAGGTACTCGAAGAATACTTCAGAGCACACACCTGTGATGAATTCGGAGCCGGCCAGGTTGGAAGGGCCGACATCTACACCCCGCACTATTGTCCCGGTAAATCACGAGAAGCCATGAGGATCGACGAGCAGTATACAATGCTTTAAGTGCTTCGGCAGAGGCCACAAGGCCAACCAGTGCCCAAACAAGAAGGCCCTGGTGCTACGCAATGGAGAGTACGTGACCGAAGATGAAGCAGAGGAAGATGGCAGCGAAGGGAGTGAGTCTAATCCCGAAGTCGATGAATCAATTGAAGTCGAAGTCCCTCCTACGGGAAAATTTCTCAAGAGTAAATCGTCGAGCACTCACTTTGGATTCTCTGGCCAGCGAAGAACAACGCTATAATCATTTTCACACCTGTTGTACAATTGAAGGAAAGTTATTGTCCGTTGTAATTGACGGAGGCAGCTGCACAAATGTCATCAGCCTTGATGCCGTTAAGAAGCTCGAGCTAGCAACGATTAAACATAGGGATGGCAAATTACCCACCCATGTGTAATTATACCCAAACCCAAGTAGACTCATTGATAATGGGTTGGGTATGGGTGAAGTGCATATGGATTTGGGGGTTTATAGATGGGTTTGGGTTTGGGGCTTCCATGATCTAAATGGGTATGGGTTGGATATGGATATCCATTTACTTGAGGGTGTTTTAACTACACATGCAAAAATTGGACCTATTTGTAAAAATTGAAAAGTTTAGGTACCAAAATGTAAGACCAAAAAAATTTAGGTACCAAAACGTAATTTTCCATCGATATTTTGATGACTTATATGCAAAAAAAAATTAAGAAACCCATGGATATGGGTAAAGTTGTCATCCCTAATTAAACACTCTCAACCATACAGCCTGCATTGGTTAAATGAGTACGGGACGTTGAAAATGAACAACAGGCGAAAGTTCACTTCAAAATCGGCGAGTATGAGGATGAATTATGGTGCGATGTAGCTCCGATGCAAGCCGCACCTCTTGTTAGGACGCCCTTGGCAATACGATTGTGGGGTCGTTCATGATGGCCGAGGTAATTCTTACAGATTCAAGCATCGAGAGCGTAATTTCCTACTTAAACCGTTATCCCCGGCTGAGGTCAGAATTGATCAACAACAAATGATGGAGAGCCGGAGCAAAGACACCGAGGGAACCACCCAATCGCAACGAGTTGAAGAGGCACTAACAGCTCGGAGGTTCATGCTCACTGTTTTTGGCAAAGAGAGTCTTCACCCGCTGCCAGAGCGTCGACGACTCTGTTTTGTGTCGGTCGAGCAGAGGAGGAGAGAGGGGCAATGGGATGGAGCAGCTCGCGCGATGTCGAGCTTCGCCAATGCCTCCGCCGCAGTCCCCACGGCCTTGGGAATCTCCTTCGGAGGCAAGAGCGACGCGAACGCCCCTCATCCGCCAGCTCAAATTCGACTTCCAATGGCCCTGGTTGGGCACAAGGAAGAAGGAAGTTCGGCTGAATGAATTGAAATGCTTGGGGCTGATTTGACCCAAACGGACTGGGCAGAATCATTGCTCACGTCTTCGATATGCTGTAGGATTGATCAATTTGATTCGTAGGATGCTGGAATCGAAACGCCCAAATCGACATCACATATTCTGGGTGGGTCATTTTTGAATGTCGGCGTTGGCGGGAGAAGTCGAGGAGTTGGGTCGCCACGAACGGCGACGATTTGGGACCTGCCGCCGGTTCAGGAAGTCGATTGGAGGTGTGGCCAACCTCGTGGGAGCACTGAATTGAATTGGCAAGACCTGAATCGAAAAGCCCCAATCCAGCTGCTCAAGAACACTGTTTTCGAATTGCATAAAAAAGAGTTTGGAATGCCATCTTTTGACCCAATTTGGACTGAGTTTTGTGCAGATTTCGAGAAGAAGAAAGAACCAGCTTTGAGGGCAAAGCTTTTTGAAGAGGGGGAGCCTGATATGATCTTAAATTGCTTCCATTCCAAGCTCGATTTGTTTGTTCAAGAGGTTAAGCCAACTCATTTGCGCAACCTGAGTTTTTGACCAAGTGTTATGACGAGTTCGGGTAGCCTACTTTGCGAGCTCGAATCTTCCGATTGGGTTGGTATAAATGAAAGGTTAAGGTGTTAGTTTGAAGATGAGAACTTCCTCTTTAATTTGGCATGGGATTCGGGCTTATACAAGGCCATTAAAGCTGTGTTTCAAGGCGTCAAAGTAGCTATCTTAAAACTAGCAAAATGCCAGAATTTGGCTAAGTCTAGAGGCATGATCAGGAAGGTCACTTTGGAGCTCCGTTCAAGGAAGATGGGATCGAATCAGGAAAGGAGCTTTGTACCACATGAAAGCGTGTTTGTTTATATACAGAAGCAAGGTACTGGCTAAGGAGAAGGAGACCTGGAGGGATGTGAACGTGAAGCTCAAAGATGCTAGGGAAGCTTGTTTTGGAGGCAGTTTGCTTAAGCTAGAAGCAAGGGAAGTATGAACGAGTTGGAAGTCCATTTTAGTTTGGGATTGTTACCTTATTCATAGTATAGTTTAATTAGCTTTCCATGTTCGTTTTGTAGTTGAATTAGGTTTAAGTTCGCCTATTTAAAGGCCTAGAACTCCATTTTAATGGTTGGACGTTATTCAATTAAGAACTGTGTTCATTGAGTTTTCTACTCGCGGATTGTCCTTATTGCTAGGTTTGAATCGCCAGCGACGAGCGAGCCTTGTATCGGTTGAGTCATCACCTCGATCGTGGTCGGGTTGCTGCCTGTAAATTGGAGCGAGCCTCTTCCCCAATTGGTGTTGAAGTTGCAAAATCCAACCATCCATTCCCATGTTCCCCTGTTCTTCTTTGAGAATTGGGTTTCTCCACAGCAAATAAACAGCAAGCTTGCGTGTACGAGCTCTTGACGAGCGTGGATAATTCAGCCTCGTAGAGTTGGGGCTTATCAAGTGGTATCTCGAGCCCTGTTCAACTCAGTGGCCGTGTGACGATTCTCCCGCGGTGGCAGAGACGACGAGTTCATCGACAGAAGGCGGCGTGGGCACAACGAGGTGGACTCGATCAAAGGGCCCTGTAGAGTGTGATCCTGCTGCTGTTTTGGTAGTGGAACAGAGAGTTGCAAAGAAGCAGGCGGCTGTTCTGGGTTTCCCTAACAAAGAACGGTCGCTCGCGGCAGAGTCCGTCTAAGAAAAGGAGACCGCAGCGGGCGACGATTCGGCCATGGCAGAGCAAGCCAATGTCGTGGAATTGCTTCGAACCATGATGGCGCAACAGAATGTCGCCATCAGGCCCAGTTCGACACTTTGAACCAACAACTGCCGACCTCAGAGTAACGGTGAACGCCCCTGCTCAGCAGCAGAGGATTATTGTTGTTGAACAGAATTTCGAGCAAGACCCGCTTCAGGGCGATCATGGACGGCAGTTAGTAGCAGAAGCAGAGCACGGAAACAACATTGCCGAGCTGAGAGGTATTAAATTGCAAGTGCCAACGTTTTTAGGAACCAACAATGCCTCGGCATACTTAGATTGGGAAAGAAAGATGCTTCTGTTCTTTCAATGCGGCAACTATAAGGAAAATAAGGAACCAACAAAACCTCCCCACCTGCCACGATCTCTATAAAGGAAAATAAGGAAAATCAATAGAACAAAAAGAATTGCCGGTAATTCCAAAGTCTAAAGTCTAAACACTGAGCTTCACGTTAAATCTAAGCTCCAATTGATACTTTATCATTAGAAAATAGTTTTTTCTTTAAAATATGTTTGGAAAATAATTATTAATAATATAATATTGACGCTCTGTTTACGCTCTGAACTTTGAATTCTTTAAATATTGACGCTTTGACGCTCCCACTCTCGCTCCACGCTCTGGTAACCTAAGTATATATGGGTCATTGCACCCTGCAGGCCGGCACATATAGGCTAAGTGTTTCATTATATATATATATATATGGTGGCGTCTTCAGTGCACTCACTTTTTTGGGTGCATTCAGTGCACTCGCTTCATAATCGTTATTTTAAACATGCGATTTATGTCAAAATGATGTCAATCATCACTTATGATATGATGAACAATAACGCACATGAATTTGCACAAAAACCATTAAAGATTTACTTTAATTTGAAGGATTTATAGTTTAGAGATTTGGGGTTAGGGTTAGGGTTTATAATTTGGGATTTAGGGATATAACTCAAAATTGGAGGTCTATAGCTTAGGGTAATCCGCTAATTAGTTGTTATCATATGTTATATCATCATATTACACTAATTCTACAAGTTAAAATTTAAAATCCGACACCTTAAGACTAGTTTTTGAGTTGGGTGCATTGAACGCACTCATTTTTGTGAGTGCACCGAAGTAGTCACTATATATATATATATATTGTAAGTTACATGAATTATATTCAAAGTGGCCCGCATTAATGAAAAAAGAAAAATTACCAAGTAGTCCTCCCGCACTATGCGCAGGAGCCAGAAAAAAGGGAAAGAGGGGTGTGATGGTGGAGAACGTG